TATGCTCTAGAGGACCCTGCTTGAGCAGGGAGGTTGGCCTAGATGATCTCCAGAGGTCCCTTCCAACCTAAACCATTCTGTGATTCTGTAAACTGTCTAGTAATCAACTATCTCCTACTGTGACATAAGCACAGATGTCCTGACTTCAATGGGATGTGCTGTTTTAACATCACTGATTAATCAGCATCTATTGACAAGGATATCAGCCACTTACAAGACGTTATCCAACATATCGGGAGAACAACAGAGATGCCAGGTTGGCTAGTTGGCTTGTCTCCCTAACAGGATGGCTGGGTCACCTTATACAAGGAGAACTCTTGTTTATCTTTTGCTTTGTAAACTTCCTTGCTCTCATACTCCACGCCCTACTGAATATTGGGACAGCCTGTAACTCGCTTTCCATCATGGGGGTGGAGTGTATGGGAAAACGCAGAAGAACGTAGAGGAGGTAGGCGATGGAAGCTTGCCAGCCCGTTCCATGGGAAAAGGAGCATCAACAGGGCATGATGACCCACAGACACGTGGCTGAGCCCATGCCAGTGTGGTGCTGCACCTTGGCTTTCAGTCAGAATTAGCGATGAGCTCAGTATGCTTACTGCACATGTGTATTGTACATAAAAACCTCACATAGTGCCCCCCCCCCGGAGTTCCTCACCAAGGACAGATGCTTAGCGGTGCCAGGGACTCTCCCACTCTGTTACTGCCTCGACTGGGAAATCGCTGGGCAATGCCTACTCATACACAGAGGTAGTAAACGCTCAGTATCGACCCTGGTGTGCCTTGTGTTTGTGTATCTTATCGGTCCCTGCCAGGACTCCAGGTGGTGCCCCTGCCTTACCCTTACAACACAGCGGGTGAATGTAACTGTTCACAGAGTGATCTGGCGTCATTTCCTCTATGGTTAGAGTTCATGACTTCTGCCATCAACAATTTCCTAGAATTTCCTAGAAGCCTCCCTTGCTAGTCAGGAATTTAGTAGTTGAATGGTTCATCTCTGCTTTCATAAGCTAAAAAATGAGTTCAGTTTCATCACCTTTTCTACAGTTGAGATGAAACGTTCCCTGATGTCAATATCTCCTTGGAACAGTTTCATATTGTTATTCGGAAACCCTAGGGCACCTAACCAGATAGTGATGCGACTGAAGCAGACCGGCAACCAAAAACATCATTAAGAAGAATATAAGATAATTTTTCCTAAATTTAGCCTGCTAAAGCAGACATAACAAAAGAGTAAGTAACAAGTAAGAGTCAGTACTGTCTAACTTTGGTTCCACACCTCTTACAACAGCAGGAACTAGACACTGAAGGAAACACTCAGTTACAAGGTAAAAGAACCTCCAGCTGTCCTGAAACTGCCTGCAGAATAAGCAACAGATCAGTGTATATTGGGTTATCCACTATTTCAATGTTTTAATGTGAGGGTAATGAGAAAGGAACAAGGAAGAAATCAGGATAAAATATAAAAGAAAGGAAGTGGTGGTGATGAGTTATTATTTTTTTAAAGCCAGGTAATACTGCAGTTAACATAAAATGTTTTTTTCTATTAAGTGAAGAAGAGCTAAGAAAATATTCCCTTACAAACTGAACGCAATGTGGGAAATGGGGAAATATTTGAAATACATGTTTCTAAACATAAATGTAAAATTAAACTTCTACTCTTCACAATTATTTGCTGCTCTCAGAAGGAAACTGTTTAATGAGTTTCATAAGAGTAGGCAACTGGACTTCAGCACTGTGTGTTTTTAAAAAGCCAGTTAATATTTGCAGCTGCATAAAAGCCAGCAAAGGATGTAAGATATCCCTACCTCCATATAGCCTACTCATGAACATGTATAAATGACCCAATTTTCCAGTTCCCAAGGAATAAAAGTTTAAAATCCAAACAAGAATGTTTTGTCTTTCCACATCTAACTACCTTCTGAAACAGGACAGCTTTTTAAAATGTTGCAGAGCCTTTCTACTAGAGGGAGTACACCACATGCTGACCACCATTTTACAGTTACGTTCTACAGAAGATGGAAGCGAGTCACAAAGAACTTAGCTCTGGATTGTAGTAAAGTTTCTGTGCATCATAGCTAAATATGCCAATTCAAAAATGTAACACTGCAATAACCGTTAAAAAAAGCGAATAACAAGCCTGGAAAGAAAGTCATCCAGCTAGGGATTCCTTTTGAATCTTTACCTTATTACACAAAAACATTTTGTTACACAAAACACTGGACAAACTGAAGATTGTGAAGAGATTTTCTGAAAACATATCTGTTACTGTCCTGTCTGCTTGAAAATTTGATGAAGATTCTCAAAAACTGTTTGTAAAAATTCCAGTCAACTGTAAATCTCAGTATTTTTCTCCTTTAATTCAGTCATGCACCAATGAATATTTGTGAACAAAAATGATCTTCATAAAACTGCATTTAGAATACTTTTTGCTACCATTCAAATCTACTGTTTGGACTTGCAGTTCACTAATGTAATCAGGTTAGCTTTAATTTCATACAAATAAATAAGCCAAGAGCTAATGCCTGTGAAGTTTAGTCTTTTACCAACGGGCACCTCTAACAATTTTCAGCTCTTGGGGATCTCCTCTCACTGAAGACTACTGCACAAGCATAATATATTTCCGATTCTAGTTCTCTGCGGTGCTGGGCCTGGTGCTGACACATACAGTGCCCATATTTATGGGATGAGGAAAAAAGACACAGTCAGAGGCTATAAAGTTCTCATAGGGATCAATGCCACCGTCTCTAGTTGGAAAGCTGTCCCTACTTTTACCTATCTTTACAGGTAAGCAAACATATGATTAAAATATCTGTAGATGCCAACCTTGCCAATTTCACATAAGGATTCATGACCTTACTTTTTCATGGTTCTGCTTTTCTAAATTGCAAATGTATCTATAGCTGACATTACAGAAACCCCCAAACATACACTGAAAAGTCTGTATAGCAATAAAAGCAAATATAGAATACATTCATATGATCTATTCCAGTAGCACTAAATTCCTAGGACACAGATTGGCTCTTAAGGAAACTTTAAAATGTTCTACACTTAAACATTACAGAATTTGCTTTGTTAATAGTAATGCATTACCTGGTAAACTAGTCTTCATAATATCAATGCCAACTTGAAGCTCAGGCTCAGCTGCAAGAACTGCATAATCCCCTTGATGAGAGATGTTGAAGTTGTAACTTGAACAGGTACTAGATATGTCATTTGCCAGGAAAGGTTTTCCCTTTGATGTCCTTTGCAAGCGTATTTCATTCCATGGTATATGCAGCTTTTCTGCTATTAGTTTCCTTATCAGCAGACGACCAGCCTATGGAGTAAAAGTGATTCATGCAGAACCATTATGCTATGGACAAAGAAGCATTTGTACTTGCTAGAAAACCACCTGCCTAAAAAATGTTTGTTGCAATTACTGCCAAGATAAAATGGGACTATATTTTAGTAAATGATTTAGATTTCTGCCTTTTATAGAGGCCATTGTCAAGCAAAATTAACTAAAACCCAAAACAGTTTACCAGACCTGAATACATTTGTAATCACTATTGGCAACAGACGCAGCACAGCACAAGACCCAATGAAAAAAAAAACAATCTCTGCTTAGAAGAGCCATAAAAAATAGGTCCCTTCCCCATCTTATTTATTCACCTAGGATACTTTATTGCACGGTAGTCCCACACCAAATAATTTTTACGCTACACTAAACAGTAAAATTCTCTTAACTCAGTTAAACACTAAATGAAATACTGAAGAATAGCTAAAAATGATGAACAATTAACAGAGTAACTAGTAGAAACCTATATTATTACCACACTGTTATGCAAGATTTAAAACCTAAATTAATGATGCAGAAGGTTGTGGATGAATCAGCTTTATTCTCTCACCCATTTTATTATTCTGGCATAATCTAGAATATGCTGTGTTTGCATCCTAATTTTACACCATAAAACTGAGAAGTCCTTCAGAAGGACTACCGATAGCAGATTACAAACACCCCTTCTCCCCCTGAGTTAGCGGTAAGTAGATCTGGCAAGTAATGCTGTCAGAGTAGTGCATGTACTTCCCTGTAACACCCCTGCAGGGCCTAACCGGGGGGGG